GATATCTTAGACCTAGATATTTTTATAGGAATATTTGTATTTTAATTACAATTTTTCGGGATACTTTGTTTGTACACATTTAAACCGTGAAGCGGGACCAGTATCTGCACTTTTCATCAGAACAGCGATTTAAGCATTATCTGTCCTTCTCAATAATTATTCTAATCTTTCTATATTTTCCAAGGTAAATTATGAAATTATTTCTTAAATTCATAACTAAATTATTTAAATTCCTAATTTAACGGTGCAGGTTCTTACAGCTGGTACCTGAAATGATATCCACAACGTGGGGCAAAATATAAATCTTAGTAAAATAAGGTTCTTTGGAGGATAACTCCACCTTATAGTTCACTTCACATGTATGACAACAAATAAACATAATATAAAATACATAATCTCCATGAGATAGTAAGTGACTTTCAAGAGAACACCTTTGTTCCCTTTGATATTTGATCTAAAATACGTCCCCGTCAGGCTAAATCCAAGGAAAGTCCTTATAGTATGGCACCTTCGTGAGATTTCTTTGTCTTATAGGCATCAAATCCCCAAGGAAACCTTTTGTTCCAAGGAAGGCCCATAAATGCAGTTACCTTCAAGAGATACCTTTGTCTCTTAGATGTCTGATCCCAAGAAAATCCTCGTCTGGTTCCAAGGAAGGTAACCATATATATACATTTATCTACTGGCCAGAGATCATCTCAAACATATAGTCAATCCCATCACATCATCATCATATCCATCATAGTTCAACATCATCATATAATGCAACATATCATGCTCAACTACAATAATACATATTTATCATGGAACCAGCACTCCAATTGAGTTTGGTGGAACACACAAGAAGATTAACCCCAAGATCTAGAAGTTTACCTTGCGTGACTTTCGTTCCTAACTTTTCTCTTTCTCAATGTATACAACCACCAATTTCAACACAGAGCAACCTATGCAACGGTGATCAACAACTTAAACAACACATAAATATTAAGTCTATGGCTAGTAAATTACCTTAATTACTCAACATTGTTTCATAAACATCAACTTTCAAACTTACCCTTTTAGGCAAATTTCCAAGAAACATGGTCTTGGTACAATAAGCTATCCAATGGATTTTCTTCAACAAATGTGTCACTAGGAACAAACTTTACAACATCACAAACATAATAACATCCATCAAAACACACCCGCATAACAAATTTTTGGAACACTATTCATCCAATACCTCAAAATCTCAAATCTTCATGAAATCCCTAAAGGAGATGGATTTACTTACCAACATGCACCCAACAATAAAGAAGGAGGCTCCCATTAAACTCTAATGGACTCAAGCTCTCCCAAAATCTTTAAGGGGAATGATCTCTCTCCACACTGGTTCCTAGTCAAAAATATGGATAGGGTTTTATAAAAGGTGAGATTCTAAGCAAATTTGACTTTGGAATCACTCAATTTCATCAAGTGTAGCTCACTCTAGGGTTTTTGTAAGTTTATCTCCTCTTCAACAATTGTGGAGCTCAAAAATAGAGAAGAAAGGAAGAGAGGGGGCTATTTTTGGGGTCTTGGGCTTGAGTGGAACTAATTATCTTAAGTGGTCTTGGCCCCACTTGAGTTGGTCAAAAGTCTAAACATGATAATTTACTCATTTACTTCATTTTTCCACTTATACTAGCCCTTGACTTAACATTTTTCTCAAATGTGTGTTCAACTCATAAGCTATGTATTTACTCATCTATCATGGATTTTAACATTAACTAAACTCACGAGATAATCTCTCACTAACTCATTCACAAATTTTCGATAACTTTTAAAATACTATATTTTTACTGAAAATTCGTTGTAATTGAAATTTATTTTAAAATTGACTCAACCCATTAATTAGATTTATTATCTAATTAATCTCATAATCGTGCAAAAAACCTAATTACTCATTAAACAAGTTCAGGTTATTATAGCATAAGTCCTTGTGCAGTACTTGCCTTGTTGGTCCCTAAGAAAGACAAATCCTGGTTGATGTGGTTGATAGTAGGGCTATCAATCGGATCACCATCAAGTATCATTTTCCCATACCTCATTTTGATGACTTAATTGATTAACTTTATGGAGAAATAGTTTTCTCAAAGATAGACTTGTGAAGCGGTTATCATCAAATGTGAATTGGCGATGAGTGGAAGGCCTCCTTCAAGACAAAGGAGGAGTTATATGAGTGGAGGGTTATGCCATTTGGCTTATCTAACGCACCAAGCACATTCATACAGTGGATGAACCAGGTTTTTTGTTCTTTTGTTGGTTCTTTTGTTGTAGTTTATTTCTATGATATCTTGATACATAGCTCCTATTTGAGAATCACTTACTACATCTGAGGAAAATGTTTGAGGCCTTAAAAGAACAGAAGTTGTATGCCAATCAGAAGAAATATCATTTCCTCACCAACTTTGGGACGTTTTTGGGATATATTATTTCTGCTGATGGTATTAGGATGGATCCAACAAAGGTTGAAGCTATTACTGGATAGGAGACAACTAAGAGCATACATGACAATAGAAGCTTTCATGGTCTAACCTTTTTCTATATGAGGTTTGTTAAGGATTTCAGCACTATTATAGCACCTGTTATAGACTGTCTGAAAGAAACCAGGTATGAGTGGACTAAAGAGGCAAAAGAGGCATTCCAATTACTAAAGTTGAAGGTAACTAAAGCCACCATTCTGGTGTTGCCTGATTTTTTTGATGTTTTTGAGTTGGTATAAGGTGTGTCCTCAGTCAAAAGAATAGACCGATAGCATTCTTCAATGAGAAGTTGAATGAAGGCTAGGATGAAATATTTGACTTATGATAACGAATTTTATGCTATAATTCAGAGTTTGGAGCATTGGAGACACTATCATGAAGCCTTGAAGTATACCAATGGCCAACACAAATTGAATACCCGGCATGCTAAGTGGGTGGAATTTTTTCAAGCTTTCAACTTTGTTATTCAACATAAAGCAGGAGCGCTAAACAAAGTCGCATATGCACTTAGCAGAAAGTATTCGTTATTATCCACTATGCAGGTGAAGGTTGCTAGTTTTGAGACCTTTAAGGAGCTGTATATTGATGATACTGATTTTAGGGAGATTTGGGGGGAAATGCAAGGCAGGGCCCTATCTGCGGTTTTTTATAGTTTATGTGTTCCTTTTTAAGGGCAACAAACTTTGTATTACTCATTGTTCGCTATAGGGGCGATCATCCTCGAGGGACATTTAGGAGGGTTAGCAAGGCACTTTGGTGTTGACAAGACAATAACCTTGATCTACGAACACTTCAATTGGCCTCAAATAAAGCTTGATATTGCTAGACTTGTGGATAGGTGCAGAGTTTGTCACATAGCTAAAACCAAAGGGCATCAATGCTGGCTTATACTTACCCTACCTATTCTGACTGTACCATGAGAAGATATCAGCCTTGACTTTGTGTTAGGCCTTCCAAGAACCTAATGCAATAAGGATTCTATCATGGTAGTGGTGGATAGGTTCTCAAAGTTGGCTCATTCTATCCTATGTAACAAGACTTTTGATCCTTCGTAGGTTGCTCATTTGTTTTTTGCAGGAAGTTGTGAAACTCCATGACGTACCTACGACCATCACTTTCAATTATGATGTGAAGTTTGTAAGCCATTTCTAGCGCACTCTTTGGAGACTGAAGGGGACGAAGCTACAGTTCAGTTCATCTCACCATCCCCAAATTGATGGTCAAACTGGAGTTGCGAACAGAAGCTTGGGCAATTTGCTACGGACCTTAATTGGAGAGAATCCTAAGCAGTGGGACTTAGTGTTATCGCAAGCAGAATTTGCTTACACCAGATCACAAAATCGCACTACAGGCAAGCCCCTTTGAAGTTATTCGTGGGCGTAATCCAATAATCCCTGTGGACATAGCATCATTGCCAGTACACAACTATTTCAGTGCAGATGCTGAGGATCACGACAATCATATTAAGGAGTTGCATTTGCGGGTTCAAGATCATATTCAAAAGAAGAATGTGAAATATAAGCAGCAAGCTAACAAGCATAAGAAGCAATTTGTTTTCAAGGACCGCTGTTTAGTATGGATCCACCTTAGGAAGGAACATTTTCTGGCTAGTAGGTTTCGCAAGCTTCAGCCTATAGCTAATGGCCCCTTGAGGGTGCTCGAGAATACGACAACGCCTACAAGATTGCATTTCCTGGGAAGTACAATGTTTCAGGTACTTTCTATGTTGTAGACTTGTCTCCTTATCATAAATAAGAGGAGGACCTGTTGCATGAAAGTAACAATGAAGACTCGTTAGATTCAAGAAGAAATCTTTTTTTGGTAGGGAAGGATGATGCACCCGAGCTGACTGACTTGGATTAAGCTCAATTTGGATAGGAAACTTGAAATGGGCTTTTGGGCAAGGCTCGTCGCTTTGCCATTGGCATCAACAGTTTTGGGCTTTTCCATAATTTGTTTCATAGTTTGGGGCTTTCAATAGTTGTTAGTTATTTTCCTTTTTTTTAATTTTAGATTATGTTTGAGTGTGCGTTAATTTTGTGTTATCTCCTTTGATTGCACATAATTCATTTTGATTCTGTTTTATTTTGTTTTGCCTATTTAAGGCTTGGAGAACTCTATTGTTATTGAGTTTATTTTTTATTAATAAAATTCAGAAAAGAGAAATAATATTTTCTCGCAATTCTTGTATTTGTTCTTTTTTTCTATTTAGCCGATTGGTTACTGCTTTGGCATTAAATTTTCTTTCTCTTAGTTCAATTCTCTTGTCATTTTGATTGCTTATTATATTCATCTGTCCTTGAGGTGTTCATTTCTATTCTAGCTATTTTTTTTTCTATAAGATTTTTGGTTGGTTGGTTAGTGTGTAATGTGGATGCTCAATCTAGTACAGATTTGAACCTTCTTTGAGGATTCTGTTACTTTTTTCTTTTCAATTTCTTGAGTAATTTTATTTTGTTGTGTTGTTTTGATCTTTTTGAATTATTTAATCTTTAGATTTGCACTCGTAATTTGGACACAGTTCGTAAATTGAAGAGTTCCATAACGAGGCTGACTACTAGGGTTCAGAAGGTATGCCTAGTTTTGGTGTCTTGTTGATAATATTTGTATTCCAGAAAATCCTCTATGCATGTTTATGAAATTGTAAACATCTTAGATTTTCACCATCATCATAAGTACGAGCTAATTATCTTACATGCTGACTTTTATTTTAATTTTAATTTTTTATGTTAAATTTAAGTGAAAATCGTGATGTTGTGGCCGGTTGACACATCATCATAAGTATTGCGAAAAAAATATTGTGTTTTATAGCTCTTTTAGAAATTATTCCTTATCAACAACATTGCTTCAAGTCGGAAGGAGCTTGTTCTTCTTAATCACAACTCTTGAGTTTGAGATATGAAAATAGAGAAAATAATTTTGAAAAAACTGCTCCCTAACTATATGGATCTAACAGAGGTTGACTCAGATTGGCTAATTTATTATCTTATTTTCCTCCACCCTAATAGAATTATTATTTTTTAAAGCAAGGAAAAGGGAAATAAAAAAAAAATCACTCTCTTTTAAACCCTTATTAGTGAGGATGGGGTAAGGCAATCTGTATGCTGCCTTACCCTGTCATTTTAGTAAATAGATTATTTCTCGGATACAAATCTGTGACCTTTCAGTCACACAGAAGCAACTTTACCACTACTCCGGACTTGCAAAAGAGAACACATATAAAACTTGAAAATTCATATAAGTTGCAATATTCTGCCAAATTTAAATTCATATAACTTCGTAGGTGATTATACCTAGTCTTTAGCCCATACATATTGTGCTAATGCTCCATTGTTATACATACTGTATCTGCACTGCACGTATCAATATACAAATTATATTCTATTTACCTTGTCTCAAGTTCTTGTTATCTGCTACAGGTGAAAGATCAACTAGAACAATTAATGGATGATGAAGATGACATGGCTGATCTATACTTATCAAGAAAGTTGGCAGGCACATCATTGCCAATAAGTGTATCAAGAGCTGCTAATTGGTATGTTGTGTCGCCCACCATAGAACCAAAACTATCTAGGACAAGTAGAGCAAGTGTGGCAACATTTTATGAAGATGAAAATGATGTGGAGGAGCTTGAAATGTTACTAGAGGTAATAACATCATTTATTTTTAAAAAGTAAGAAACAATCTTCCATTTTAACTTAATGAGAAAAAACTATTATTAAGCGATTGATATTCATTTTGCAGGCTTATTTCATGCAAATTGATGGCACATTGAACAAATTATCCACAGTAAGTGTCATTTGTGTGTATGCATTAAGGAGATATAAAGCTTTTTTTTGGATAATATGGAAAACAGAAGAAACAAAACACAAAAGGGGGACTCTAACTCAGAGTCGAGCGAGGATATCCCACACCCTCAGAGTCATTTGAAACTAAGAATATTAACCCCAGAAGGGGGAGTCCAAGATACTAATTCAGAAATCTTGTGCGCAATGGTTGACGACAAGCCAATCCGCTACCATGTTTCCTTCAAGCAAAGTATGGGAGAGCTCCACCGTCCAGCTCCATTTGATCAGCTCTCTGATCCCAGAAACCAGGATGTAGTAGTGATGGCTCTCAGATATCTCCGAGGAGATAAGATTCAGAGCATCTTTGGAGTCACCTTCAAGTACGATTCTTCTGTGGCCTTTATCCCAAGCTAAATTGAGCCCCTCAAAAGCACCCAAAAGTTCTGATAAAAGGGGGTTACCATAGCCCACGCTTCTCTGGAAACCACAGATCCAGTCTTCGGTAGAGTTTCGCAGGGTACCACCGCAACGGATGTTTCCCCTACTGGCTGAGAAGGACCCATCAAAATTGACTTTAGTCCAACCCGAGGGAGGGGGTTCCAGGATATCAAATCATCAGATCTACGATTGATAGGGATGTCGACTACCATAAGGATCTTTTCTGCAGTGGTGATAGCTATAACTTGGCTTCGAATGCTCCTAGCAACACTCCCAGGGTCCGTTGCTTTGCCATTGAAGATTAGCTCGTTCCTGTTCTTCCATATGATCCAGCAAGCTACTCCAAACACAGTACCCCAATCCTCTTGGCTAGTGTGAATCCTCTTCTGATTGATGTTACTCGAAAGCCAGTCCTCGAAGGCCATTGTGTAGAAGGGGGAGAACTGGGTGTCAGAGAGGTTGTCCCAGAGCTTCTTCACCCAACTGCAACGCCGAAAGATGTGGTGTAACACCCCGTATATACCCAGCTTGTTAACATGTCATTGTCTTAAGTCACGCTTAATTAAATTGAAAAATATCTTTTTATTTCAATTATGACGTCATTAAACTTAGCCAAGTTGATTACTTAATCAATTTCATAAAAATATCGCCTGTATGTAAATTGCAAAAGAAAGCTAACTGAAATACCTCAATAGATAAATAAGGGAGTATCTAAAACACGGATCTACCACACGTAGTCCGGACAATATCCTAATACATTAATACAACTCGAAGCTAAAAACATAAGTCAAGTCAACGTGGCATGGACAATCCCCATGCTCACCAAATAGACGATGTAACACCCTGTATATATCCGGTAATGTTATCATAATATCGTATTAAGCTGCGCTTAATTAAAATGCGGAATTACTTTTTCTTTTCAATTATGATGCCATTAACATTACCAACTTGCTTAATAATCAATTAATAAAACATCGTCTGTATGTAATTGCAATAAAACAGCTAACTGAAATACCTCATAACATAGATAATATAAGTGTGTCTCTAGTCACGGAACTACAACAATGTAGGCCGGGCCATCTAACAGTTTATACAACTCCAAACTAAAAAGTACTAACCGAAAGTGTCATGGACAATCCCCATGCTCACTCAAATAAGGCAACATGCCCAACATCAGTCTCAACAACAACATAATGATAAAAGGCATAAAACATAATCAGCATCAATATCCAGTCATGCTAACAATAAGCAGTAAAACATAATCAGCTAAGCTCCGGCCTCCTGCCGCCTGAGGCATCAGTACTCATACTACCTGATCCTGAAATAAGCATTCCCCAAACGTGGGGTAAGATCTCTAATCTAGAAATCTCAGTAAGTCAGTGAGTCCTCAAGGATCTTCCACCCCAAGCTCACTTACATGTGCAATATAAGTTCAAAAGCAGTTTATCATTTATCATTTCTAAAACAATGCAATGCAGCAGATAATCATGCCATGTGTGTCAATACTAATCTACTGGCCAGAGACAGTGCAGGTATACGTCTATCACCTACACACCGTGCAAGTACCACTTGCATTCACCCCGGTACACCATCTTGTATGGCGCTACATACTCAGGCTTCCCGTCAAGATGAAACAACACATGCATATTAAAAGCCATTACATGTACAGTTCAATCAACATATCAAATATCCAAAAGCATGTACACAGCATGCATAAACCATACCCCCATGGGACATGGTGGAACCACAACATGGCCAAACCGAGGACACGAAAGCTTACCTTGCAAGCTAACTCCAAAAGCCAAGAGCCCACAGCTCAAAGTCCAAACACAACAGATTCACAATCTGTTATGGACCAATACTATATCAATAAAAATTCAACACAAGCATATAACTTAAAGACAACGCCTTTCCTTACGTTTAACGTCTTGAGGTTCCATACCAACCCATAAGCCCTTAATCACTTGATTCCGATTTAGTTTAATTAAAAAAGAATTTCAACTTCATCATTCTAGGGTCCACAAACCCCCAATAGCCTACTGTCCTCACAGCACAGCTACTGTTCTTCGAAATCCCAGAATATCCGGATATTCCTCGGGACCATATCCGGATATCTCACTGGACGTATTCGGATATTCAATATCCGGATACTCAAAACCCATATCCGGATATCACATATCCGGATATTCATCGGGCACATATCCAGATATTTCACGACAGAATGCAGAAAATACATTTCGTGAAGATATCCATCCAAGGTTGGGTTTTTAATGATTTAAAGCACCTAAACATGCATTTCTAGGTGTGTTCAACATTACCCAACAACAAGTTATCATCTTTAAGCCTCAACATGCATCAAGCTTCCATTTTTAAGCATTAAACTCAAGATCAAAGGTTGGTATACATACCAAAGGCTTAAAACAGAGAATAGAGGTGCTCTTGGAGCTCAACACAGCCCCTCAAGTCTGTCTCAAAGATGTGCACGAAAATAGCACCATAAAGGTTGGTTCCTTAGAGCAAAGTTCACCATTTGGACCTCCAAAAACCAAAGCCAAGCTTCTCACAACCAAGCCAACCAAGTCAGCCCCAAAACCCCTCACCAACAGTGGCTGAGCACTCCCCCAAGCCCACTCTTCACACTCACAAGTCACCACCCAATAAAGGTCACAACTTGGCTCAAGAATGAGGGAGAAGGCCAAAGGAACAAAAACTGGTCAGCCTCCACCAACAACTCACGTTCAAAGTCTGGTATCTAGGGCTTTGTGCCTCTTAAAAATGGGTATTTATAGCCCAAGCCACTTAAACACACAGTATTAACTTTAATTGCTACGATTATCATTTTAATCCCAAACTTTGAATTCTGAAACTACATAATTCTCTAAGATTTATCATATTTTTCTTATAATTTTCTGAGCACTTTTCCGGTACGCACTTTTCCAAGCCAGTACCGGTTTCTAGCACCAGTTCTCATTATTTGGACTTGAAACTCGTTTTTCAAGTCCTACATATCATTCTAGTAATTATCATGCACTTATTATAATTTTTCGGGATACTTTTTCGGCACGCATTTAAACCGACTGGCAGAACCGGTATCTGCACTTTTCTTCCGAAAAGCGACTTTCAGCATTATTACTCACTTACTATAATTATTAAAGCCTCATAATAATTATTAGAGTCAATTATGATATCATTTCCTTTTTTCTCATAATTTATTAATTAAATTCCTTAATTAACGGTGCAGGTTCTTACATTCACCCCACCTTTTTAGGATTTTAACCTCAAAATCAGAAATATACCTGGTCGAAACTCGGGGTACTGCCGGAGAAGCTCGTCCTCACGCTCCCAAGTACACTCCTCAAGAGTCCTTCCGGTCCACTGCACCTTGACCATCGGAATGATAATGCTCCTCAACTACTTCTCGCCACGATCGAGAATCTTTAGTGGTCCTACGGGAGTCTTTAAGTTCTCCCGAACTTCCACATCATCCGGTTGCACAACGTGCGAAGGATCTGCTATGTACCTCCGAAGCTGAGACACGTGAAACACGTCGTGGATGTTGGCCAGGTTCGGAGGCAAGGCAAGCCGGTAGGCAACAAGTCCTTCTCTACCAAGAATCTGGTATGGCCCAATAAACTGCGGGCTCAGCTTCCTCACTCCGAGTTCTCGTCCAACACCGGTGACAGGTGAGAGTCTCACAAACACGTGCTCACCCTCACTGAACTCAAGTGGTCGATGCTTGACATCGTAGTAGCTCTTCTGACGATTCTGCGCCTGCTTCAACTTTTCCCTGATCATCTGGATCTGCAGGGTGGTATCTTGGACAAAGTCCAAGCCAAACAACTCACGATCCCCAACCTCCGACCAGCAGGTAGATGTACGACACCTCCTACCGTAGGGCGCCTCGTAGGGTGCCATGCCCAGGCTAGCATGGAAACTATTGTTATACAAAAACTCTACCAATGGAAGGTACCTATCCCATGCCGAGCCCTGCTCCAACGTGCAAGCCCGCAACGTGTCCTCCAAGGTCTGGATAGTCCGCTCAGTCTGTCCATCAGTCTGAGGGTGATAGGAGGTACTCAATCTCAACTGTGTACCAAAAGCTCCCTGCAGCGCCTCCCAGAACCGAGATGTGAACTCCGGGTCCCTATCACTGATGATACTCACGGGCACCCCGTGAAGCCTCACAATCTCGCGAACATACAGTTTGGCCAACTGCTCTGTAGTGAAGCTCACCTTCACTGGAAGAAAATGGGCAGACTTCGTCAGTCTGTCCACAATGACCCATATCGAGTCACAGCCAACCTGACTCTTCGGCAAACCCACAACGAAGTCCATGGAAATGCTCTCCCACTTCCACTCCGGAATCTCAAGAGGTCGAAGCTTACCAGACGACTTCTGGTGTTCAATCTTCACTTTCTGACAAACCAAACACTTGGACACAAAGATAGCAACATCTTTCTTCATGCTCGGCCACCAGAAATTCTTTTTCAAGTCTTGATACATCTTAGTAGCACCAGGATGGATAGAAAACTGACCCTTATGGCCTTCTGCCATAACCTCTTC